TCTTGTCACTCAGTACTCACTCTCAACACTCAGGCTCATTAATATCTCATAATAATGGAAATCATAGTAACTGCTACGTCGTGCAGCCCGATCCGTAATTTATAGTCGACAACGCTCACTGGGGGTGTACAGACTCCGGAGGGGCTCCTACAGCCCAAGCGTCATATCGCTGAGGTGCACAGCCCGATCCAATATATATATCGCTACGGCGTGCAGCCCGATCCAATATATATATCGCTGCGGCGTGCAGCCCAATCCATATAAGTATTGCTGCGCCGTGTAGCCCGATCCATAATATATACATATAATATCCTCACCATTAGGTTCTCAACCTCTTTCAGTCATTAACCTCACAGCCTCTCGGGCACAACAATAGAAATTAGGGAACTCAGGCCAAACAATCCTCACAATTAGAAGGGGAGTGATAAAACCAGTTTTAAACATTTAAACAGGTATAACATGACTGAGGATATGCTTTCAACAAGTAAAGTGAGGAAAAACAGTAAAAATGCCCCTAAGGGTCTCAACAGGTCAGCACAATCCCCTAAACATGGCATACAACCCATAATACATTATAAATGACTAAAGTACGGAATAATATAAGATTCCAAATCAAATACACGGCTTAATAGTCGCCAAGGGATGGACCAAGTCACAATTTCTACCGGTGCACGCCCACACACTCGTCACCTAGCATGTGCGTACCGCATTTATCAAAATAAGTCAAATATCGGGGTTTTGTACCCTCAGTTCTAGCTTTACAATGGTTAAGTACCTCAAACCGGTGAAAATCCTACACCGCGATGCCTATGCCCTTTGAATCAGCCTCCACTCGCGTCGAATCTATCTAAAATTAGAATCACGATATCAAAATATGCTAAGGGAACGAAGCCCAAGCGAAAACAATCAAATAATACCAAAAATCCCGAAATTGGCCAAACCTGACCCCCGGGCCCATGTCTCAAAACTCGATAAAAATCACATCAGCGGAATCTTTATCCTCCCACGAGTCCATACATACCAAAAACACTGAAATCGGAGTCGAAATAGCCCCTCAAATTCTCATTTAAAGTTTCTTAAATCTCAAGCCCTAATTCCTCAATTTTAGGCTTAGATTCTATGATTTATTAGGTAGATTTCACAATAGAATCGAGTTTTAAGTCCAACATTCTTACCTCCAAGTGATTCCCCTTGAATCCCTCTTCAATCTCCTTCAAATAGCTCCAAAAACGACCAACAATGAAAGAAATAAACCCCACATTCGCGGACAAAACGACCTTTTAAACCTTCTGCCTAGGCCTAAAAATCATTCTTCGCGAACGTGGTCAAAGCCTCGCGTTCGCGAAGCAAAAAAATAACCTTGACCAAATTCATATTTCGCTATCGCGACCATCTATCGCGAACACGATGAATTAAATTCACTGAAGCTCAGCCGCTCATTCTTTTCTATGCGAACACGACACTACCCCGCGAACGCAATGCACAAACACTTAGCCCTTCGCGAACGTGTAGCCATCCTCGCGAACGCGAAGGCTTAAATTCCACCTTCCTCAACTGACTCTTCACGAACGCGAGGGTCCACTCGCGAACGCGAAGAGTAAAATACCTGCAACAGCTGAACAGAAATCTGCAACTTTTCTTTAACTCAAAATGGTCCGTTCAACCCTCCGAGTCTCACCCGAGGCCCCCGGGACCTCAACCAAAGGCACCAACATATCCCAAAATCTTATTCAAACTCGTACCAATTTTCAAAATACCTCGAACAACATCAAATCGACCAAAACACATCGGATTCAAGCCTATTTTTTCAAAACTTCTAAATTTTGCTTTTGATAAAAAACCCGACCAAACCACGCCCGAATGACCTGAAATCTTGCACACATGTCCCAAATGACACAACTGAACTATTGAAACTCTCGGAATTCTATTGCGACCCCTATATCAAAATCTCACCTATCAACCGGAAATCGCCAAAAATTCGATTTCGCCAATTCAAGCCTAAAACTACTTCGAACCTCCAAAACTCATTCCGATCATACTCCTAAGTCCCAAATCGCCTCCCGGAGCTAACCGATCCATCGGAACCCACATCCGAGCCCTCTAACACACAAGTCAATATCCAGTTGTCTTTTCCAACTTAAACTCACTCTAAAGAGACTAAGTGTCTCAAACCTTACCAAATCCTTTCCAAACTCGATCTGACCGACCCGATATCATATAACACGTATAAACAAGGCATAAAAAAGCAAAAATGGGAGAAACAGAGTAGTAACTCATGAGACGACTCGCCAGGTCGTCACACTCTGGAAGTATGAATTTTGTTCCATTGTGTCGTTGTGTGCTGTTATGTCTTCGTTGGCTTGTGTTATGTGCCATCTGTTTCATCAGCAAGTTTTCAAATCGATTCCATCTGCAAGCTTTGGGATCGATTCCATCGGTACGCTAGTTTGGGGATTTCAATGTATTTAGGGCTGATCTCGTCTCCCAAAAACTTGTGGGTAAGATTTCTCTAAAACATCTTTTCAATTTAGTGGATTTGCAATTTCAGTACTCTGGAATTCCTTTTCTTCTTAAGGGAATGCCCTTTTTGTTCTTGTTGTACTGTCCGTTTCATTGTCAATTTTTCATTTGTTTGTAATTTTTATTACAAGAATTGAAAGATTTATATCTTAGATACTATAGAATTTTGATGTAATATGATAAATTTGAATGAACTTGCAAAATAGTTTGGACCTCTAAAGATAAAACTAAATGTAATTCTCTATAGGAATCTGATGGTTTTATCAAGGATTTCTTGAAAATTCTTGATTAATCAGAAGCAAGCTTTAGTTCAACAAGCTATTTAGTGCAACATTTGGTAGAAAGTTGGAAGCATATAGCGTTTTGAACTTAATAATATGGAAAAAATTTGGCAACTAAGCTACCTTTATATTTTCTTTGAAATTGTGGGATGAACCTAAACAGTTTGGACATCTTACTCCTGCGGAGAAAATTTTATGTATATCTAACTCTTATATGGAAATTGAAATTGTTGTAGGGAAGGTTGTTGATAGGAAATATATAATCCACCAGGGCATAGAAAATATGTAATCCATCAGGGCATTCAAACAATGGGTGTGCCATTTTTAAAAAAGATAATGTTCTGTACTATATCTATAGAAGCCATGCTGTTATTGTTATGATTATAGTTTACATAATTATCTTATTAGAAGTTTATAAACTTTTAATAAAAGAGACTACACTTTTTTGTTTATAAACTTCCTGTCCAATTATTATTGAAAGTTCATTGTAAAAAAAAAGAATACTTTTTTTTTGTTTAACTAAAATAAGGGGCTGAGCTCGGAGACTCACTTCCAGTAGTGATATCAGGTACACTTTTCCTATTACTTTCATCTTGGTATATAATGGTTGTGGTTGATTAATTATCCCCCTTTAGCCTTAGAATTACGTAGGACTCTTACTGTAACATAGATTTTCTTAGAATGTTTGCCTTTGTAAACAGTGCCATGACTTCCTTCTCCTACGTTTTCGCTAAAATCCTTTATTTGCTTAATATTAGCATAAGAATATCTAGTAGTTCTTATGACCTTGTAGTCTTCCAGAAACTTTTAAGTCTAACTTGACTCTCTCCTCTTTATTTTTACTTTTGTCAAATTGAGCTAATAAACTAAGAGAATAATAGTGGAAACAAGAAAGGTTCCTAAAGTTGTACCTACAAAATTGAATAAGAAAATGTCTAAAGTATGAAAAAACAAATAGGAAATGGATAGAGTAAGAACTTCGAAGAAGTTCATATATTGAGAAAGCTGACCTGCAATCAAGGGATGCTTAGTAATATCTTTTGTGCACAAATTTATAGTTTCTGTGAAGTGTTTTGTTATCCATTACAATGATGGAATAAGAAAAAAAATTTAAGACATATATAGTAAAACAATTGCTTGATTCTATCCTTGATACTACAATCCAATCTTTTGAACTCACATAGAAAGTCTATCACAATGATCTCTACTTATATGCAGATTAAGATTAACTATACTGTATTTTAGTCTTTACCTCTGTAACACTTTTCTCCTTATACATCTAAATAGATATTATGTACCGCCTTTTTTTGTCTTTGCTTTCTACAAAACATCTTGACATCAGGATATAACAGGGTATGTCTAATCTAACTTATCTTTTTCGGTCGATGTGAGTAGTGCACGGGTTATATAAGGCCAAATTCTTCCACATTCCTCTTGTTCAACTTACGTCTGCTTCTTGAAAAGGCCATTTTTTTATTATTATTTCAAGTTATTTTCTGGAGGTACAATGACATATTACATTCGTTTTAGGTCAATTTCAGATAGTATAATGCCAAACTTGATCCTTTTTCTTGTTTGCATAAAGGGTTAGATACCAGTTATTTAGAATTCTATAGATAAGTATCTATAGTATATCCTTATAAAAAAAGGAGAGTCTATAATATAGTTTAAAATGCTGAAGAATGAGTAGCTAAGGAAAAACATGTTAAAAGGGCATAAAGTAGTATTACTTCAACTAACGTTGAGATGGTAAAGTGGTCAAGTTCAATTGGGAAAAATGAAGAGGTAACCCATCATGTAAAGTAAGAACAATATATTTGTCTTCATGTAATGGACATGACTAATAGAAATTAGAAAGCATCTTTCTTCTCTTCAATTCCTTCAATCTTCTGATATATATTTTTCACACAAGCACCAAAGGAAGTGCTGATGACAATACAAAAATACAATTAATTGAAAGTATCTTGTTTTCCTTTCACATCCGGAGCAACTAATTGATGTTAAAGGGCTAATTATTGATCATTAGTGATACAATCCAAGTGCTACAAAAGGTGTGCTTTATTTGTTCAATTGTAATAGAACCAATGGAAGCCTATACTAGTTAGTCAAGTTCTTTCAATCCATGGTCTTGTATATTCATGATTCTATATGAACACAAACTATATTATTTCTAATTTTAATTTTATTTTGAATGTATAGGAAAATGTACGTGATGCAATTTGATATGGTGGCCACAAGTCAATTTGATCTATTAGAGTGACTATTTGAACAATGGTGATCTTTGTATATATTCCACTTTGTACAATTTATTGTCAGTACACATCTTAAAATATTGCTTTATTAGTATGTGTAATACAAGAAATATGCTTGTTTTTCAAAGTTTATTGCAGATATATGCATATGAATTATTATTTTTAGTGATTTATTAGCTAATTTAGTGTGTGAGATAATCAAAACGAGATAATATTGTCTATTCTTGAAATAAATGTGATTATAGTGCAGGCATACAAAATTTATTGGATTCAAATTCAATAAGATAATTTGGACTATAGTTTAAATATACTAGTCCAAATAAATATTATGGGCTAATAAAATTAAATAAATTATAAATCCAATATATATAGATTAAATAAATAAATCTTAATCCATTGGCTAACCCATTTAATTGGACTAAAGTGATGAGTCCACTTCATTAAGCCCAAGTTGTCATCTTCCTAAAGGCCTAGTTTGGTATCACGCGTCAAATGATGTGGCACGCCAAGTCAAATGGGAAAAGCTAATAGAATCATGCCACGTGTCAAAATGACAAGGCATGCCAAGTCAAATAAAAAAGGCCAATGAAATCGTGCCACGTGTGCAAGTCATGTTCTGGCCAATCAAATGCGGTCTTGTCACGCTTCAATCTGATTGGTCGGAAAGAGTTTGTTCTCATCATAACTCTTCCCTTCCACAACTATAAATAGGAGTTTTCATAACTCAGAAAAGATACCAGGTGTTATAACAAGAAGACACGAGGGAACTCGTGGATCAAAGGCCACAATTCTTTGCAAATTGCAAGCGTTCAAGCATTCAAGCACTTCAATAAAAATTTCAAATATTCAAGATCAAGAACGAAGTCAAATTAAATATGAGACGTTCAAGATCAAGGCTGCTTGTTCGTGACACAATTCGTGGAAAAAATCAAAGTGTTCGTGACGGATAAATTAAATTCAAATTCAAGATCAAGGCTGCTTGTTCGTGACACAATTCGTGGCAAAAATCAAAGTGTTCGTGACGGATAAATTAAATTCAAATTCAAGATCAAGGCTGCTTGTTCGTGACACAATTCGTGGCAAAAATCAAAGTGTTCGTGACGGATAAATAAAATTCAAATTCAAGATTAAGCTCAAAGGCCCTTGAATTTATACTGGAAAAGTAGAATCAGAGGAATCATAGAGATTGTTGTCATGACCCAAACCGATGGGCCGCGATGGGCACCCGATACCTTACTCAACCGAGTACCAACGTAACATATCTTTCTTATTGCATCATCATATACAAATGACATACGGTCCTAATAGGCCAACATGATTCTTTATAAACTCAAAACATAGGCCGACAAGGCCGTACAACCTTTTACGTACACGACATATGTCTACAAGCCTCTAAGAATACATAAATGTCATAAAGGTCGGGACAGTGTCCCGCCATACCAAACAATACATGTCTAAATCATACTAACCAAACGAGCAACTCCAAAACAAATGGAGCGCACCAACATCTTCCACTGAGCTGATAGCCTACTTGGAGGGCTCTCGACCTGTCTATCGAGACGTACGGGCATGAAACGCAACGTCCCCAGGCAAAAGAGACATCAGTACGAATAATGTACCAAGTATGTAAGGCACATAAATAAATACATAAGAGACATGGAAGACATATAGAGAACATGACTTAACCTGTAAGTCTGAATAACTTTGTAAATCATAAATTACTTCTAGTGTCATATGTATGCGTATGAATGACATGTCGTGCATAGGTACATGTTTCATAACATCAGCAGCCTCTGAGGGCATCCCATCATATCATATTGACCACTGTGGGCAAAATCATCATTGTATACCAGCTGATCAGCTGGTGGTGTGTACATAACGCCATAACCTTTCCTGTATCTCATATACATATATATATACACATACATATATGTGCATATATAATGTCGTTTGAATAATATTTACATATATACGCGTATATAACGCCGTTTGAATCATATTTTAGCCACTGTGGGCAACATCATCATCATATACCAACTGATCAGGTGATGTGTGCGTATATAACTCCGTAACCTTTTTCCATATCCCATATACATATATTTACATATATACATGTGTATAACACCATCTGGCCATGGGTCAATGCACATGAATGCAATGCATGAAAAGTACGTCAATTAAATCTTTCGGAATTTTTTAAGACCATTTTGTCTTTGAGCAATATCATAAAGTAAGCTCGTTTCAACTTTTGTATTTTTCTGAGACCCATGGACAGATGATAAACTATTATGACACATGGAAATTCAGGAACATAGATATCTCTAATACTTCTATGAATAGAGTCATTCATGGAATTTGTGCATTTGCACGTTTTGTTCGTATCATATGGATCATGCCAAAAGAAAAAAGGGATAGCCTTAACATACCCGAGCCGATTCTCTTGAAAATTCCTCTAACACACGTCTTTTTCCAAGAACACTTAACACCGGATCAAAGTAGGGAAAAATCCTTATATTTCATTCAGCGGCTACATCTAAGATTAGAAGCCTCCATGACCTCTCCAGATATGCTGCTTTGGTTAAACTTAAACAACCATATTTAAAACTCATGTAACATTGCATATAAAGTTTAGATGTTTTACCAATCATAGATTGATCTTCTTCATTGATAATTCAAGATCTTTAAGCTACAACTCAAACCTAGTCTTCCTAGCTCTTCCATGATTTTGTTGACTAAGAACAAGTTTTTCCATCTCCAAATTATCGATCCTTAAACCCCAAACATAGCAAAGGCCAATTTCAAGGAAAGTATTCTCTTAAGCATAATGGATAAATCCATTATAGGCAATCTTTTGTCTCGGTAGTGGCGTATCTAACAAGGAAAACACAAATGAAAGGATGTTGGATTCCATCTCCAAACAAATTCTCTATCCCTTCCCTTTCTTTGACATATTGAGTGAACATACAAGAAGATACATATTCTTATTGCTTTGGGCTTACTAGTTGAAAAGTCACAGGTCGATGAGTTCTTACCAGTATGAGCTTCTATGGAATACAGTGCATTACACAATCAGAATATGATTTTCATAGATAGGACACTGGATTATCCATGCTATAATAATAGCCTCGCTTTTACATTTACTGCCTATGAAATTTGGAACTTTCAAGATTGAAATAAGGCATGAAAGTTTGAAAATTGTATAGATAATACAACAACAACTTGCCGCTATACCAAACTTGTTGAAGAAAGAATTTGTATCCTGAAAATTCATTCAGTTACGTAAAGATTTTCTTTTAAAGTTGGTATATAAGCAAAAAACATAGGAAATAACATAAACAGAATGACATATATGGCACAAACACGTGTTTCTTACTAATTCAAATAGTAACATAAGTGTCATGTGTGTAGAAAAGCCAAACAAGTGTTTGTTACTTAATATGGCCACCTTTCCATCAAAGTGGTGAGTCACTTTAATTACATGGGGTTGCCATGTTTTTTTTTATTTAATCTTATCCCATAATTTCAATTAATTAATTAGGTAATATCTCGTTGTCTGGTTAACCAATTACCTGCATAATTAAGAATTATTTCAAATTACTTAAGATACTACTCAGTTTTAATATACTTTATATAACTTACTATCATGATCATGTGGTACCATACAAAATTAATACGTGCACTATTATTTTATTAAAACATATTCGAAAGTAGTAATATTAATAACTATATAAAAATCATATTTTTCAAACCATTTTTTTCTTAAAAAAAAATTGCACTAAAAATACCATATCAAATATATATATATAACCATATCAAGGTTGTTATACTTACGGGCTGTAGCATCCTTCCCCCCTTTAGAACATTCGTCCTCGAATGTTGACTGATGCACCTATCATTTTCATAACTTATATCTTTCGAATACTTTAGAACTTCTCTTGCCATCTAGGTGACTGTCCTGTGAATGAGTCCAAAGTCTAGGGCATTCCCCCCCTTAGGCCTCCTTCTCACACCACAACTTGTAGTCGGAATCTTTCCAATCTCGTAATTGTTACTACCTTTCATCATGCAGCCTGTACAATTTTGACCTTGTAAGTGTGCCCCATCTCTAGGATTCATATACAGAGCTTGATAAGATGCCCCTTTGGGTATATATGAGTATACTAAAGTTCTTCGCTTGGTACTTTGTTGAATTCACGAATATTGATCTACAATATACCCTCATTTTATTACCAGGTCAGTATTTCATTCCTTCTAAATGCTATTAATCTTAGACTCTTTTGAGTTTATTAAAGCTATAGTGAGCTTTGTATAACATAGAGAAACTGTCTGCTCTTCTTGTTTTCATGGGCTTAATCCTAAAGACTTATTCATTCTCGTCACCTTTTCAATTGCCTTTCCTTATCCTTACTCTTGCTTCCTTAAAATTTTATCGCTCTATCATACTTTATCTTGCGACCTATGCATATCCATTTATAAACTTTCATTCAACTTGCTTGCACAATATTCTTGAATCGTAGCGTATCTGTAGTATTTGGATAAGTGCAATCTCATCCCTTTCTCATTTTTATCGCATTATTCCTTTTATCATTCCATATTCCCTCCTTTAGGGGAGTACTAAGAGTTGGAGCTACGATGATCGGCCTAAAGATGTTTCACCTTTTCATCTTTGTCATCCTTTCACATCATCGATTACCCTTACTTGGCTTGCGGTAATCCGTTCGTACAAAGGATAGCAAAATTGCTCACTCACGAGGGTGAAACTTAGTATAACTGGCACATACAGTCCCTTAAGCTGAACTTTTCTCACATTGCTTGAAGTAGGGAAGCGTCTTTCTGAATGACCATTCTCGGAATTTCTAATAAACCTTCTTTTGTCGTCCATTCTATTATTGGCGGAACAAAATCTGAAATTCTTATGATGGCGACTATCATCAGACACTCAGTCCCTAATTCATATTTAGTTTATCTTGTTTACCAGTCCATACTGATTTTTGTTACTCTGTGGATTAACTCTCCTCTCTGGTAGTTGCGTTGGAGTCACGAACTTATTTCTCGAAATGAGGATATAACCTTATGGCCTATACTCTT